TTGGCTTTGGCATAGAAGAGCTTCACATATACACATGGATCATTTAAACAAGTTAAGTAGAAAAGAGTTAGTAATTGGATTACCTAAACTCAAGTTCAACAAGGAAAAACTATGTGTTGCTTGTCAAAATGGCAAGCAAGTGAAGGCTAGCTTTAAAAGCAAAAATCTGATTTCAACTTCTAGACCATTACAATTAATTCACATGGATTTGGTTGGTCCTTCAAGAACCATGAGTCTAGGAGGGAATTACTATGGGCTGGTTATGGTAGATGATTATTCAAGATTCACATGGGTTATGTTTCTTACAAATAAGAGTGAAGCTTTCAATTCTTTTAAGAAATTTTCTAAGCTTGTTCAAAATGAGAAAAACACAATTATCACCTCAATTAGAAGTGATCATGGAGGTGAATTCCAAAATGTTTTGTTCCAAAAATTCTGTGAAGAACATGGCATTAATCATAACTTTTTAGCACTTAGGACACCTGAACAAAATGAGGTTGTGGAAAGGAAAAATAGGACTTTTGAGGAATTAGATAGAACTATGTTGAATGAGACTAAACTACCTAAATACTTTTGGGCTGATGCAATTATCACAGCATGTCATGTGTTAAATAAGGTACTAATTAGGCCTATTCTAAAATGAACACCTTATGAGATTTATAATGGAAGGAAGTCTAATATCTCATACTTTAGAGTATTTGGTTGTAAATGTTTTGTGCTAAATAATGGTAAGGAACAACTTGGTAAATTTGATGCTAAAGCTGATGAAGCAATTTTCTAGGGTTATTCTACAAATAGCAAAGCCTATAGAGTATATAATAAGAGAACTCATGGTTCTATCTTGGTAAATAATCCTGCACAGTGATCATTCTTGTAATTTTTTTAAAAAAAAATATTATTCCAGTAAAAAATTCAAGAATTTGAGTGTTGTAATAATACTGCTTTTCTGTGTTCAAAGTTCTAAAGATTATTGAACGTTCTGGCGGTTGAAAACCGCCAGAAAATGCCAATACTTGTAACAATTACCATTTTTGCGGTTTAAACCGCCAGAAAGTGTCAATAATTTGTAGTGAGTGTCGTCCTTATTACAAATGTTACATTTTTTGGCGGTTTATGGAAACCGCAAAAAATAAACCGCCAGTAATTGCCTATTTTTTTGTAGTGAATGTGATAAGAAATGTTTTTTTATATGTATATTTGAAATGAAATAAGTTTCATATAAAAAATAATTTATGTTTACTCATATATATTGCAAGAGAATTAGAAATATAAATTTAAAAATATTTACATAAAAATAAAAAAGAAAATAAAGCAATATATATTCCTATTTCATATAACAATAAAGACATACATCTCGCGTTATTTTATGTATGAAAAATTATAAATGATTATTTTAACGTGTTGTGTTTCCAATTTTAACAGGTTATATTAACCCTTGAACATTAACTGAGAATTTTAAAACTCATGTTAAATTAAATATTATAAGATTTATTAGGGTTTTGTAAAAATTAGTGATTAAGAGCCCAGAGTAATGTTAAAACCATAAGCACCAACTTGTCTCTTTCTTAGGGTTTCTCTATATCTTGGATTAATTTCCTTCTCTCCTTTGGACCAAAACACACGCGGTATACGAAATCTGTTCTTGTATTTTTTGTTTTGTTTTGTTTTGTTTGTTTTTTTTTTTTTTTTTTCCTATATCCTTATGATTTCCATATTCGTTCTGGGTACTGCTTGTTGCTAAATGATAATTATTCTTTGGTGTGATTAAGGTCACAAATACACAAATGGGGTAGATCATTCCTTGAAAGTGCCAACCAAACATAGTAAACTGAAGAGTATGAGAAATATTCTGCCAAGACACGAGGCAGCCACCTTGTAGGTCTAATCGAATATGTTCTGCATGAGGAACTTTTTATGCATCGCAATTTGTTCTTATTATTTGAATATTTATTGTTAATTAGACCATGGTTGAATAAGAAAATGGGGAAGAGAAACGGATCAATCCAAATGGCAAGAAGGGTCCTGGATCCACAAGAAAATTAAGCAGATTCACAATACAATATATATTGTGACTAATTTAATGTTCAGATGCATCTTTATTATTTTCTTTAGCAGAAAATATAAGATTAAATATGTTTTTAATCATTCAACTTTTCTCACTTTTTATTTTTAAGTTTTTTAATAAATTTTATTAAGTCTTCAAAAAAAGTCAATTTTCATTAATTTAATTCATACGTGAAAGTTTATATATATATATATATATATATATATATATATATATATAGTAGGTTTAGATAAACTTTCTCCTAGAGTAAACAAATCTCTTTCTCTTATATATATATATATATATATATATATTAAAAAGACCGTTTAATGTGACAATGAGAAAATAAATATTAACTACAGAATCTTATTATGAACAACAAAAATTAAATATATAAGTCATATGAGTTTTTTTAAAAAATTTACGTGACTTTTTTTAGTAATTATGTGACTTTAAAAAACTTTTAATCATGAATATTTATGTATAGCTGTTTAAAGTTATTCTTTTACTGTCATTTTTCTTCTTCTACATATCATTATAGCATTATTTATGTCATTACATAGAAATCTAGAATGTTACTTTTAAGGATTAACCTGTATATCAGCACAATTTCTTTTTTAGCATTTTGGTGTTTTTGTTTTAATGCATGTTACAATTTTAGGAAGCTAGACATAATGAACAATTAAATGGTAAGTAGTTTGATATTATTTATTAAGTGAGAATATCTGCATGCAGTTCCAGGCTCTCTAAGCTCAAAGAAACCATGAACGTGTCTCATGGTAGAGCTAAAGAAGAGTCCTATCTAAGGCCTTTCCTCATCATGAAGTAAGTAAAACTAATTGTTAAAATGATCTTTTTTAGGTTAAAGAATCTTTCAGCAATACGATAATCTTTCAAAGACAATTTTGCTGCAATAATTACTAATATCAATGTAGGTCAAGTAATATTTCTGAATGCATTATATGGATTTAGGGCACATTTTAACCTGAACACGAAGAATATCATATGTATATTGATTATATCACCCCAAAGTATTTTTCTACATTGAAGAATGAAACTAAAAATGGTCTTGACATGTTAGTGAATGACTATGACCTAACACTTCTTTTTCAACCAATGTTAATGCTTGGAATTAGTATCAGAGTTGCTTTCAATGTGATTTTCCTGGGCATGGATGCTAAGAACTTTCTTAATGGTAGTTTTTATAGTTATGATTTTCTTAAAAATGAATTTTTGTTTTTTTCCTTGCATATATTTATGTAGTTTGGATGTGTAATAGGCCTTTTAGTTAACACAAGGTGTCACTTCCAGTTTTTCTCAAGAAAAAAAGAAAGATGTCAATTTTAACTAAATTATATATTAGCACAATTTCTTTTTTAGCATTATGGTGCTTTGATTTAATGAATGTTATAATTTCAGGAAGCTAGGCATAATGCACGATTAAATGGTAAGTGGTTTGATAATATTTATGTTCTAAACTTCTCCATAAAGTTTTAGCATGAATGCAATTGAAATTTTGTGTCCTTTCCTGAAACTCATAAATTAATTTCCCTCCAGATATAATTGGACATGATGTTAATCCAAGGGTACAAACTTTTTTCTTTTAGTAAGATATTTAATTCGCACACTGTTCTGAAATTTCTCAGACCTCGCGGGGAATATTTATATGTAGTTCCAACCCCCCTAAGGGCAAAGAACCCAAGAATGTGTCTCGTGGTAGAGCAAATGATGTAGACCAACTGCACTTAGATCTTGAAAATATATTGTTGTTCGTATGTCCATGTTGAACATCTACTGTGTTTTGATAGATCAAGTTTTTAATTTGTTGCATGTATGGGGTCATTATTGAACATAGATTGATTTAATATGTCTCTGTTTTGAAATAGAATCACACAACAAAATTTTCAAGGATATATTAAGTATTGAATATACTTCGGGTACATTAGAAACGACTTTAGAAACAACTTATTTTTATTTTCAAAAGTTTACGTAGGAAAACGTGAAATAGATAATGAAATTAGAAAGCATTAAAAAAGTATTAGTATTTTCATTATTTCATACACGGTGTTCTGAAATAAAAATAAAGTAAAAATAGAAGCTGAAAACATAAATTATTTTCTCAAATCAAACATTCTTTCTAGATACCATCTTATACATTATATTAATACACTCTAGTTCAATATAAATTGAGACATGTCACTCAATACGTTATAATGAAAGTTTTAATGTCGTTAGTGTATTTTCACAATTAATCAAAAAGCAACAGATAAGTATTAAATATTCAGTAAAAAAAAGAAGGTAATATTAATAATAAAAAAATTGTCCTTTATATTTATGTGATATTAATGATCATTCTAAATAAAATAGGATTTTTTTTTTTCCTATGGCTCTTGGCTTATATAAATTGCACAATGGCTTTGGAATGAGACAAAATCCATAGGATCCTAGGATTTTGACGACGGCGTTCATTTCCACCTTTTTGAGCGTAGAGGGAAATTACTCAACATGACTTTTGAATTCGGTAGAGTAATAAAACAAACACACACTTTGTCCCCAAATCGAAATCTATTTCCTCATTCATATTCGAAACTCTCATAGAACACCTCCATTACATCCGTACCCTGCACTTCACTCACTTTCCCACACTTTCAAAACAAATAAACAAGACATAACAGAGAATAGAGAACATCGAAGATAATAACAAAAAGAAATCCCTCACGTGCTCCTTCATTTCTCTTCACCTACGTTCTTTCTCTCCACCTTCGTCCACCTTCATGTTGTTTTCATCCTCCTCTTGTTGCTACACTACTCCCACCACCACAAAATATCCAAGAGAAAAAAAAATCCCAACAACAATTTTTAATATTACCATATCTTTTCGAACAAAATAGAAAATTATGAAACTCAGTAGTTCGAATTTACATAGTGAAAATCGCGTAAAATATTAAATTCCACGAGCAAGAAAAAGGTAATTTGATGTTATTTTTTTTTTTAATTTTTAAAATAGAAAACAGAGTCAAAACACACATTTTTTAAACCTTGAAAACTTGGAAATGAAAATAATGGCCTCTTGCTTCTTCATTTCCACGCTTCATAGTGCTAACTTTATCCAACTCAATGATAACAATTATCTTCCATGGAAGCAATAAGCCCCACTAGCAAGTTGACAACTATCAGTGGGTATACATTGCAACTGCATATCTAATGTTGCAGCTTCCATCCTGTATCACTCCTCCATTTCAACAATTCTTTCCTCCCTATTTTCATTCAAACGGGGGAAAATGTAAAGTTTCAGATGAAAGATCATTTGAAAAGATGAGCGGTCAAACAATTTTTTCCCTAACGCGACTGTTTACATGGATAGTAGTCAATTTCCGTATGTCCGAGTGATAAGTGATGGGCAATTTTGAAGGCATGCACGTAGCTAGAACTCCCAACAGTTTTTAAATGGTCACTTGGTCAACTACACTGCCAAAATCTCCATCATGTGATGTAAAACTCTTGAAATAGCAATGGTAGACATAACAGAATAGCCAGTAACAATGAATTTCCTCATCTGTCGTAAAATGACCCATCCACGGCATGCTAATACTAAGCCAAAAAGACACATAGTTGGCATCATGGTGACGGGTTCATCGTTACCCTATCACCTAATTCTTCAATTTGCTGTAAGTTGTGTCCACTACATGGCAGCATCAGGATCCAACCTTCTCTGGATAGCAGCAGCAGCCTATAGTGATAAAATAGCAGCTAGTTTGAGTTGAGGCTTAAAAGCTAAAATCCAATCTCCAAATAGGCGTTTATTATGCAACTCTCACCTCAAAGTTTCCAAGCTTGTACTGGTAAGCCATCTCCTCCCTGAGTTGAGCTTGCTCTTTCATTGCCTGTGCCTGTCAATTATTTCATGACAACATGACAAAAAGAACCTTTTGATCAACAAAATGACTAGAAGTCAAATTGCAATAAGAGCAATCCAGTGAAAAAAACTAACCATTCCAGTTTGCATAGATTGCTTCAACGCCATCACTTGCTCTTCCTTATGCTTTTCACGAGCTTGCAACAATTCAAGCCTACAATGCAACAGAAAATTATTATGCCAGGGTGAAGCACTTCAGGTCAACATAGATGGTGCTTATTATGTGTACCATATCTCCATTTGAATGGCACCAACACCAAGATAGAGATAAGAATTTAATTTACAAACATATAAGCTAAGCTATCTATGGATAATGTTGTTGAGGTCATATTCTGACACATTTGCAAATAAAGCTTCAAATAATTTAGAGTAGGGATGATTTTGCAAATGAAAAACAGTTGACAAAGAGTGAAAAGAAATTAGTAATTGAAAAATCAACATATCATCAAAAGAAACTAGAAAATAGTCAATATTGCTGGTTCTTCAGAAAGTAAACCAAATACCAGCAGATGTAGTCTAATTTCAAAAGACAAAGGTTACCAGACTAATTTCAGATTAAATAAGTAAAAGCAGCATGAACAAAATTATACCTGCGCTGTTCTTCATCATTGAAAACAGTACGTTCTGTTGCCTGGACCTTCTTAAAACCTTTTTTCCTCTCTTTTTCCATTTGACGCCTGTAATAAGCATCAAGATTGTAGTACCTGCCACATTATACCATTTGTCAAAACCATATGGATGCACAAAATGATTCATTAAGACTTCAAATCCATGCCATCATTGCAAAGACAAGGAGTTTGCATTGATGAGCACAACATGGATAAATCAGAAGACAGATTCCCAGATGACAAATAACAGGTATGTGGGCATAAATTATTTCTTATTTACATAAATGAGCACAAAGGTCTATATAGTCTTAAATAAGCTAAATTAAAACTCTGCAAGAGCTTACTTTTTGGAAGGAAAGGTAGCCGTGTTGTGATCCTCCATGAATCTGCATATCAGATATTAGAGGCAAACAAGATTACATTTAAATCAACACAGTACATGAACCCAAGAAAATAAAATCAATGCAGAATTAAATGTAACAATGAACAAGTGAATAATCAGTTAGTCAATACGTCCATCCAGGGGAGAATGAAAGAAATCAGTAAGAACATATTAGAATTCCTTTCTCTTATGTTACTACTGTAATAGTAAACTTAACAGTTAAAAAAGAGCAACTTTATATGCTAGCCCCGAACCCCACCCCCCATTTTTCAACCTTTTCCCCTTCCTGAGAAGCAAGTTTAGGTACTTACTCTTTGAACATTTGTTTTTCTTCCCAATTGGACATATTCTCCAGATTCACCTGTAAAAATACCACAGCAATTATAACATAGGATATATTTTATGTAACAATGTAGAACATATAATTAAACTCTCATATATGGATGAAAAAAGAAAAGATTTTCTGCAGTTCTTTTTAAAGAGAAAAAAAAATTTGGCCTAACTGGTCAAGTCCAACATCCTTACAGGCAAGAAATGAATGTCATTTAATTATTATGAAAATATGGTTTCTCCATGAAACAAGATAAATAGTTTGCAATACATAGAAAATATTTCCCTAGATAATGTAAAGAAACAACTAACTTATTTTTTTGCAATAATGAGCAGGGGACCACCATGGAGGAACAAACATCATACAAGGTGTTTAGATTGCATGATATAGAAAGTAGACCAAAATAATCACCTGCTTTACTTCTGCCAACCATGCAGTGAACTCTGGTCGTTTGGTCCTGTAATAATAATAACATCATTACAGAAAGGGATGATGAGACCCTTAGTTACAAGATATAATTGATAAAAGAGCTAGTTATTAAATTCAGACTACAATGAAAATGCAGGATACTTATTTACTTCCAGCAAGACATTTCCAACTTTAGTACTTTACTACTTAAATGATCTGACAGTAAAATTTGGTAATTTGCCACCAACATGAGAGTTGAGACTTGAGAGTCTTAAGATAAATTGAAGCTTCTAAAAGAAAAATGAAAGTATGATCATAAGATCTGGAAGACAGGTTACCAAGTTTATGATTCTTTTCAGTTACATTAGCTTCTAAAGTCTAAACAGAAAAGTACATATATGCCTTCCTAAACATAAATGTAGCTAAAGTATCCATCAAGGAACAACAGCTAGAACAACACATAAATATCAAGTTTGAAGTTTTCTGAATAATGCCATCATGCCATTATTTCTGGTACATAGGAAGATTGTAGGTGTTGGCAGAAGCAAAGGTGACAATGTTTCATTTATTTTACTTAATGCAAGCGAACAGCAGCAGAAATTTCTTAACTGGGGTTAAAGAGTTGAAATCATAATCAAGAGAGTAAAGTATGAACTACAGTCCACAATAAAAGACAAGAAGTTAACAATTACCATTGCCTTTCCCAAAGATTCTACATTTTCAGCATATATACAGTATTAAGTTGTGAAGTTTTATTAAATTAGGAAAGTTTGGAGTTTTAATTTTTCTTGAAAGCAAATGCACCGGAAAGATGGATTTTTTGGATCATTCAGAAATTTTGTTGAGGAGTTGTTTGCTTTCTTTTCACTCCTCTTTCAGTTTTTTTCTTATGAGAAAGCATTGAGTCCCGTTATTAGTTGCCTTTCACCAATGTAACCAAGGTTCAAACAGAAGCACAACACTGACCAATCGAAAGCTTACAATGCTCAATCCCATTATTTTTCAATCAAATCCTACAACCTTGACTTGACCAATCAGGTTCCTTGACAGATATTAATCATCCGTAAAGACATATATTCATCATCCGTAAAGCCGATAGACACGTCTTAGTTCTTACCAATAAAATAGCTGTCAAACAAAATTCTACAACCTTGCCGAAGCACAACTCTACTAATAACCTCATTCAGTCCTATCCACAAACAACCCACATGCAAAACCAAAGCAACAAAACAATGGCAAAGAGATTAATCTTAGTTGTTACAATGAATTCACTAACAATCAATCAGCCTCTACGATCACACAATTCAATCATCAATTACAACACAAAATTCATCTCTCATATTCCAACACACAAACAAACATAACACATAACACATAACAAAAAGGGATTAATCTCTTACCACATATCAGTTTCTCTAATAACACCATACTTCCCCCAAGAATTCGTGACCGCTCCCTTCTTCCCTCTCTCCTCCTTCTCCTTCTTCTTTTTCTTCTTCTTCTTCAGCTTCTCCTTCTTCCTCTTCTCCTCTTCCTTCTCTCTCTTCCGCCTCTTCCTCTCCTTCTCTTTCCGCCTCCGCCTCCTCTCCCTCTCTTCCTCTTTCTCTCTCCTCCTCCTCTTCTCCCTCCGCCTCCTCTCCCCCTCGCTCTCCGACTCCGACTCCGAATACTCCGAATCCGAACTCGACCGTTCCGACTCGGACTCCTCCGAACCGGAGTCGGAATCCGAGTCGCTGCTGTAGCGCGGCCGTGACTTCCGCTTCCTCCGGTGCGGCCTGTCGCCGTCTTCGGAATCGGAGCTTCCTCCTCCCCGCGATTTCCTCCTCGAATTGCTGTGCCTTCTCTCCGATTCCGAGTCTACATCCGAATCTTCTCGCCATTTCCGGGAATCTCTCCTCGGCGGTGCCTCGTCATCTTCTTTCTCTGCAGCCGCAACGGATTTCGGCAACGCACCGTTTCCGTCTCTCGACATTTTTTTGGTTTAGCAGAGCTTCGGGTTTTGCAGCAGTGAGTTTAGTTAATTCGGGTGGAGTCGTTAACTCGGAAGAGGAAGAGCTATTTAGTGGATTCTCATCGAATGGGCTTGGAGAAAGCCCAGTGCCTGTATGGGCCATGATATTAGATTTGTTTTAGGCTCATGATATATACACCTCCGTTTTTTTTTATAAGTAAACCTCCTTCTTTTAAAATTTTTTTATAAAATATTATAATTCTTTTAAAAAAATTTAATTTTACATTCAATTTTCAATTTTCTACTTTCTTTTTATTATTCATATACTTTTTTTTTTCTCTTTCAATTTTCAAATGCTACCAAAATAGGTAGGGTGAAGGAAAAATAAGGGAGTATATATAAAAAATAAAAAAAAAGAAAAATATGTGAAAAAAAAGTACTAAATTAAATGTTGTAAATGTAAAATTAAAAAATTTAAAACAAAAAATTAAAAATATTTTAAAATTTTAATTATTTTTTTTAAAAAGAGATGTACTTATAGAAAAAAGGAGGTGTATATATCATCAACTTTTGTTTTATTCGGATTGGCCCAACTTGATCAAACATGTAATTAATATTGGAGTAACTTTAACACGATCTCTTCTCTCCAAACATGAGAAAAAAAAACAAATACAAAGGTGTATTTAATTTAAGAAAAATAATATTTTACTTTTTACGTGTAATTAAACATTTGTTGCTTTTTTTTTTTGTTGTTAGATATTTTATATATGTAAAGCAGCATTATTTATTTATTTATTGGACATCATTTCTTGCCTTTTATATATTACTAACCATAATTTAGTTAGACGTTTTGTGACATATAATAACGTTGATTGGTAGAAAGGAAATAATATATTAGAGTATAAAAGGAGTAAAAGGTAGGTTAATTAATTAAAAATATTTTAGTATATATATATATATATAACATTACAAAATGCTAGTTGTTGTAATATTTGAAGTTAAAAAATTATATAATTAATAATATTATAAAGGTAATAATGAAGGAATTAATGAAATTATTATTATTTTTTATTGATAATCATAATTAAAATATATTAATAACATTAACTATTATATTTTAATAAAAATTACTTCTATGATATATTTATAATATAAAATAATTTTATACTATCATTTAATCATAATTTATATAAATGATAAGTTTGTTAAATTTTATATATTAAAAGTCATAATTAATTATGTAAAACATTAATAATGTATCACTATTAAATTTTTATACATTTTCCTTTTAACAAATTATTATTTAAAGTATTGGATGCACAAGGTGAGGTGAAGCATCTATGGGGTAACTTTGTATACAACTGATCCTATAATGAAAATTCTCAATCCTTTTGATTGAGGACCAAATGTTATAGGGGTATTTAAGTTATGGTTATAGGTACACATGAAATCAAAATTATCCACTTCATTCATAAATTTTGAATCTTAGATTGTATTGATTTAAGATTTCATAAGATTTTAAAAGATTTTTTTTAATAAAAAAGTCTATTAAGATCTACGATAACTTGATGAATCTATTTTATTGATAAAAAGTTTTTACTCAAAAAATCTTTGATAAAATAATTTATATTGTTCGGATAAACTTATTTATAAGTATTTTAACGAGAGAAAAAAAATAAAAAAAAAATAAACTGTTAAAATTAGTTTATATAAGTTAAAAAGTATGTTTTAAAAAAACTAATATAAAAAAGATTTTACAAATTGGCTTATGTGTAAGTTATTTTTAACTTTTCAAAAAGATTATTTATGTTCCCCTTTTATATTCTTCTTCTATAATTGTTTTTGAAAAAGTTTATCCTTAAAAAATCTATTTTTTTTAATATTCTAATATGAAAAAATGATTAAAATGATATTAATTAATTGGCTCTTTCTTTTTGCGTTGTGCATTTATAATTAGGTTGTATGTGATTTTAGTATTTGTTTGGCTATTAATGTTTTGTTTAAACAATTTTTTTAATTTCTACATCTAGTAATTCAACTCAAATCAACCTGTTGTTAATTAGGTAGGTTCAGTTTTGAATTAACTTGATAAAAATTTTACACGAAATTTAATCCAACAAACTTAAACCAATTTATGAACAATTTTATTGAATATAACTTTTAAGTAAATGAGAGTGAACTAATTTAAATATCTTGTGCAATTTTTTTTAAACACTAATCACTTTTTGTTTTTGATTGCATGGATTCTTTCAATTATTGAAATTGACTTAATCTTAACTAAGGGTATTTGAATTGACCGGTACCAAAATTAGAATTAATTGAATTGTTGAAATTATTAGTTTCAATTGAGTATTGAACTTCTATATTGTTCTTTATTGTTTCATTACATTATATCATATAGAGATTGTAACGACCCGACTAGTCACTACACACGGCATCGCACACTAGAAACTCTAGACCTAAGCTAAGAGAACAGTGAAACTTTTATAACTGTATACTTTCTTTGTTTTGTAGGAGAGATTTTGTTCATTTTGCTGAAATTTGTTTTAAGAGTTTTGGAGACAGGGTTAAGTACTGGACTACCATCAATGAGCCAAGTCTGGTTGCAAAGTTTGCCTATATGAAAGGAATATATCCCCCTGGTCACTGTTCCCCACCTTTTGGAAATTGTTATACTGGTAACTCGGATGTTGAATCTCTAATTGTCGTGCACAATATGTTACTGTCACATGCCAAGGCTGTTGACTTATACCGCAAGCACTTTCAGGTAACAAAAGATGTCCTAAACTAGCTTTTGTTGTCACATTTTCTAGGTTAGGGTAAAGACGATGGGAGTTTAATTAGAAAACTACTCATGCTCATCCAGGCAAAGCAAGGTGGAACCATTGGCATTGTGGCACAATCCCTCATGTATGAACCACTTAGAGATGAAGAATGTGATAGACAAGCTGCGAGTAGGGGCTTGGCTTTTATTGTAGCCTGGTAAGTTGTTAAGAACTACCATTTAATACCTGCAACAAAATCAAAGGAAAAATGAGAGGTTTTGCTTATGGCAATCATGCCTTCACATACTATTTTGTATATTATTATTATTATTAATGAAAAGAAGTAGCAGCACATGATCCTTTTATTCTTTGAAAAACTTTTCCTTCTCTTTTTGTGACAAGAAGGGTCTTAGATCCCCTGGTTTTTGGTGAGTATCCATCTGAGATGCTCTCTATCCTTGGGAGTCAGTTACCAGTGTTCTCTCTTGAGGAGAAGAGTCTCATAAAAGGAAGCCTAGACTTCATTGGCATCAATCACTATGGAACTGTCTATGCCAAGGACTGTTCCCTCTCTTCTTGTCCTCTTGGAGTAGATCATCCACTAAGTGGTTTTCTAGAAACAACTGGAACAAGAGATGGCATTCCGATTGGTGATCTGGTACCCTTATATCTTCCACTTGCTTTTTTTCATTATGTTGTTGACTCATATGTTTGATAAAGGAGTAAGTATGAATCATAATCTATGATAAAATTTGTTGTTTTAAGCAGACAGGAATGTCAGGGTTCTTTGTGGTTCCAAGGGGCATGGAGAAGCTTGTAGAATACATTAAGATAAGATACCATAATAATATACCCATGTATATTACAGAAAATGGTGCGTAAACATTGATTCCATTATGATGAATCGTTTTTCTGTTTTTAATTCTGGTACTCAAACCATTATAAAAATGTCATTTTTTTTTTACTTTATTTCTCATTTTCAAATGTTTGTATAGGAAATAAAACGACATTGAAATAGAAACAGAGAAAAGGTGTAGTACTTTTTATGATTATTATTTTTGAAAATATGAATGAAAACAGGAAAGTTGTTTCCAAAATCTCAATTTCTCCCATTTCGTTTTAACATGGCGTTGTTGATTGATCAATATTGATCACTTCATCTAGAATTAAGATTTAAAGAACAGTGACAATGGAAGCTCGCTTTTTGTTATGTATGTTTAGATTTTGACTCTTGAGGAATGAGTTAACAATTTTGGTTTGCTGCATAAAAACTGTTGCAGGATATTCATCACCACCCAAACCTGATGAGACAATGGATGATCTACTACAAGATTTCAAACGAATAGATTATCATAAAGCCTACCTTGCAGCTCTGCTAAGAGCCATAAGGTGAGTGATGAGGAATAACATATCATTAACATCTTCGTTTTTTTAAGGTTGTTTCGAATTACTTTGTTTGTTGATAAGGGGTAATTTTATTATGTGCAGAAAAGGTGCGGATGTTAGAGGATATATGATATGGTCATTGATGGACAACTTTGAATGGGCAAGTGGCTATGACATAAGATTTGGGCTCTATTATGTGGACAGACACACTCTTGAACGAATTCCAAAACTTTCTGTTCAATGGTTTTCTAGTTTCCTCAACAACACTGGTCACACCAACAAAAAAGAAGACTTAAGGGAGCCATATGTTAGAAGTAAAATTGTGATACAGAATGCCTACTCATGCTCATCCAGGCAAAGCAAGGTGGAACCATTGGCATTGTGGCACAATCCCTCATGTATGAACCACTTAGAGATGAAGAATGTGATAGACAAGCTGCGAGTAGGGGCTTGGCTTTTATTGTAGCGAAAAAAAATGAGAACTGGAATGAGTCTGGAAAGAAAAGAAAAAGGGGTCCTCACATAGATAAACATTACATTGCACCATTGTGTTGATTGTTGAACTTGGTGGTGCATTTTCAATTCATTAATTATCATATAATTACCTCTACTTGAAAATTCATTTTCCTCTGTCCTAGATAAGTGTGGTTAATAAACATTTTGATTAAACCCATTTTTTAACTTATTTTCTCGTTGAGGTTCACATTTTGACAATTTTCTTTTAACATACTCAATTCAACTCCTATTATGTACGAATTGATTCATTTTATTTATGCAAAATACTTAAATGAGGCGAGCGTAATTTATTTTAAATTTAAAAATTAAAATTTTAATATTAGTGTCTCTATATGAATTATGAACCGACTCATTTTATTAAAAATTGAAAATTAAAGTGGATGATGCATTATTAGCATGGAATATAAAAAAAGTTATTTAAAAATTTAAAATTGAAATAATATAAATTGAGTATAAACTCGTTCATTTTATTTCTACACATTAGCATTTTGGTTTATTTTAATGTTCTTTTATTGTTTATGATAAAATATGAATCTGGATGATTGGTAAGTTAATTATATATGTATGAATCTACTCGAAATTTTTTATTTGTAATACATGTTTTTGTTTAAGAATAAAACAAAAAAAAATTAAAAATACTAAGTTCTTTGTTGATTGTGACCTTAATCAACATAAAGTATAAATATTTTTATGTGGGTGAAAATCATTACTGATACAGAAATGAACAAATTCTATGTCGATTAAGGTCATAATCAACATATAAATGATCAACTTTTTACATCAATCATATTTCCATCAAATTTATAACGGATGTAGAAAATCTAAAATAATCAACTTTAAGGACTCTTCCTTACTAATAAAACTATATCTTATTAGTGATTATTTATATTCCGATTACGAACATTTTAATGTTTCATTAATTTAATGAATCCTTTATAATATTTTATTTATTAATTTCACAAGACTAGAATATCAATTTATAATATTTTTTTGTGGTAATATATAGTTTCAAACCCATCTTAAAAATATTAAATAAAAACTCAAATTCTTACAGAATTAAATTTCGTATTATAAAATATATATATATATATATATATTTTTTATTTATTTATTCTTAAATAAACATGACTATCCTTTAGTAAGACCCTAAGAAAGACGCAATAGATTAGCGTGAAAGAGTGAAAGCGAAGTTAGAGACACAGCGCATAAATTATAGAAGCACGTGTTGGAACGTAAGACCCTGAAGCCAACAACTCTATCTGCATGCCACACTCATATATAAACTATATGACTCATAAACTTTATATTAATTTATCTATTTATTCAGATGTGGGTCATAAACTTTATATTAATTTATCTATTTATTCAGATGTGGGTCATAAACTTTATACTAATTTATCTAGCTATTTATTCAGATATGAGTCATAAACTTCTGAATTTTCTTTTTCCCAGTCTCGGCTGCATTTGAAAATTCAATTCAAAGATATCTGCTGTCATCGTCAACAAATTAAGACTATTATTTCCTTTGAAGAAAGAAGAAACCAGAAAGAAAAAAGAAATGACAAAATGATTTATCGGATATCAATTTTTTCTTAACATTTATGGAAAATGTAAGAATGATTAGTAATATAATTATAAATTGCCTTCATAATTTTAAATAAAGTTAAAAGTAATTTATAATATGAAAATTACTCTCCCATTAATTTATATATACAAGTATTTATATATAGAACTGTTATTACTAGTTTACTACTCTTGTTTATCGAGAATTAAGAGGAATGCAAAGCAAAAAAGGCCATGACAGCAGCGTTACAATTTTAATTTTAAGCTATTATGTTTATTTTATTTTGAATTATTCTCTCCTTCTTCATTTCTATTAACATAAAATGAGTGGAAAAAGAAAAGAGATAAAATAAATAGAGAGAACAAACAATATAATAAATAATGTGAAAAAAATAATATGTAAAATAATTGTTCTTTCAATTACAACAGTTATTACGAGTACATATTAATTTTTTTTTTGGATATAATCTTTATAATTAAAACATTAATGTAACATTATTCTCAACTAATTAAAAATTATATTATTTATAACTTTTAAATAATTTAAATAAAACTCAACAATTTTAACAAACACAACAATTTATTATGGATTCAAATAATTTTAAAATTAAATTTTTTATTTTTTTAATCTTGATATATATCATCGCTATTTATCACTAATTGAGTCACAATTGACTTTAAAACTACTTGCTAAGCTATCAAGATATATTTTGCAAAAATCTTGGTCATGAATTCGAGGTCTCTGCAAAAATTTAACTTTTTTTTTTAGTGGATTACGTAACCAAATTATTGTATCAAAAGTGATCTGTTAAGAATAAGGGAATTTTAATTTCTAGTGGCTTATCTATTTGCAATGTTTGAGGTAGGTTTTTTTCTGTATTACTCATTATGTTTAGTTTTGTGTTGTAAGTGCTCTAATATAATTAATATTGTAAGCTCTTTTTGATCATTCCTTATAACTAAAAGAATATTTACTTGTTGAATGAAATTTTGCCTTTTAAACAAAAAACAAAAAAAATATCAAGATATAATTAAAAATGATGGATTTTGTAGCAATTATATATTTTAAAAGTTTTACATTTAAGATGATTTTTAATTTATTGATAATATATAAATCTTTACACTAGGTATCAAAATTAAATTCTATAAAATAATAGGGTTGTTTCAATTAAATAATAAAATATGTTTAATATAAATAAATAATCTAATTGGATGCACAATCATGCCCCTATACGAATTTCAATAATTTATTAGTCCTTATTAATAGTATACTATGCAACACGTAGTTAATATTTTATGTTTTGATGATATGATGAGTTAATTCTCTATGCTAATTAACATGATTATTTGTTAGTAAGATATATCATATATATTATTAATTTAGATGTGCAATGTTTATATTAATTATTTATTTCTTATTAAACAAAATTATGTCAATTAAAATTAATATAATGTAAAAATGATAACGTGTTATGGAGTTTCAGCAAGTAATTAAGCAAAATAAAAAGAATAGTAACCAGAAACTCATCATATGACGTCCAATGCATGATTTTGATACCTTATTAAATATTAGACGGCCTCTCTTGTCATTGCAATCTAATACTTTGAATCACATATTATTAATTAGTGAGTCTGTCATTTCAACTCCCAAAATCCATTTTAAACTAAATAAAGACAAAACTTCTCTTTTCCAATATTCAATCTTCACGAAGTGATCACCTTTGTGTTTTCTATCAAGGAAACACTTTATGTCTAGTGTCTTAATTTTCTTTCCTTATTCGAAATCAATAATAAATAAATATAAACTGAATCAAGTACTAACTCAAATATCCATGAATTAATTATTTATCAAAATTAATTAATTCTTTAAGTGAGTGTTTAGCATCATAATCCAACAGTGTGTCTAATGTTATAAGCAATTGATTAGTTTCAGAAGAATTAAACACGATGTCTGAAGAGAGTAGCAAGAACAATAGGATGGAAAAGTAGCAGTAATTCATGTTTTGCAACAGCTAGTAGCACTTAATTTATTGTTGAACATAAAGTACATAACTCATCCGTTATGCACAGAGTGCACACATAGTTCTGATATATAACAGTAATACTTTAATACTTATGGATCATAGATGCATCGTGGTCTTATTATTATATTTATACTATATGGTAGTTTTATTTATAAAATGGCCCTGCGTGCATCTTCACGTTGGAGATCCATTTAACAGTTTCTGGTGCACCAGCAACGAAAATCGTCCCTGCACCTGCCACTGATCAGGTGTTCTTTATTCTTGCAGTGATCATCGCAGCTGCCAGTGGTGAAGCATGGACCCCTGTATGTATCAGCCAGATTCTCGCACGTCTTTGCCTCAGTTTGCACCACTTCTTCTGCACGTTGCAATTCATTCATACATGAGACATATAGTACATATAATGAAGATCCACAAAAACAATTAAAAATCTGTTTTAGATACAAGTTTAGAAGTAATTTTAGAAATAATTATTTATTTTTAATAGAAAAATATTCAAAAAAATACTTGTAATAACTTGTATCTGAATAGACTATGAGAATATATAGCTTGACCTTGTTCTAGTGTCTGTATTTCAAAGCTTTTAAAAAATGTGTGAAAACCTAATATAAATGCATATAAGACGTAGAAATATTGTTTTATGAGCCAGAAATAGAGATTCTCCTTTTGATATGCATGGATGATTTGAAGGGAGGAATTGGAACTATATATTCATATATATGTAGATGATAGAGAGTGACCTATCTAGCTATGATAAGTGATTTATGATGATAGTGACTTGTATATATGTTTAATAATGACTAAAAAAATAACGAATTTTAGCACAGCATATGCACCACATGCAGTTGTGGAGTAAAAGAAAGTAACGCTATGCATCCTAAGAATTGATAAATGAACATAGTCATATACATGCAGTGATTAAGAGTAGTGGCTTACGAGCAACAAAGAGAACGAGGAAGAGGAAGCACAATCCAGCCATTGATTTCTTCTCCATGGCTAGCTTAGTGATGATTCACTTATGTATATATCTGCTATATATGTGTTTGTGTGTGATGATGGTGAATATATATGTCTTGGTACATTAAATGGTGCGTCTTAGACACATATTTATAGTCCTCAGGGACTTGACTAGTTACAACGATCGATGTTGCGGATGAGAAACGTAAGTAGAAGCTAGAAGAAATTAATGTAAGAATGAGGTTTCGGTCCCTTTGTATTTTAACGGTGAAAAGTCAACAAAGTGTACTACGTGTGGGGCAAGAACTTATCAAGATAATTAATGCTAGCTAGAATATATGGCACAGAAGTCTGATGCTATAATATATTTTTTTTTTATTTCGTATTCATGTTTTATATACCATGTTATTTTGAACGAGGAATTCCATGTATCAAGTCTAGACGTGAAGGGATGTATTATGAAAATTCAAGTCTCACATTAATAAAAAAATTAAATAATTAAATAATATATAAATAGAAAGTAATTCTTATTTTACAAGACAATTTTATAAGATTAAGTTAGGTTTAAATCTATTATTCTAAAATAGTATTAAAATTGTTTAAAAAATTCAAGTCTCGCCAATCCTAAATCATTAAAAAAATTACTTAAATTTCACATCAACTAGAAATTTAACAATTAAATAATATATAAATAAAAGATAATTCGCAATCCTCATCTTACAAACTGATTTTGTAAGGTTGAATTATGCTTAAATCTACTATTCTAAAAAAAGTTTAGAATATATTTTATCTCTTTCTTGATTACGATGAAAATGAAGTATATATATAGTAAAAGTTAAAATGAAGAAATAAGTTTTGTTAGGCACTTGCCTTATTAGTCAATGGCTGCTGGACTTTTCAAGTTTAAAATTTGTTAACTTTGCAATACAGGAATGATTTGTGATAATTTTGATTTTCTGGCATATGATGCATATATGACAAGTATTTTATGTTAATTGAGGATAAGATAAGGTAAATGTTGGTCCTAAACAATAAAGAGAGGCACAAAAATAATATGAGAAACACAAAATGCATCGTATGTGACATAAAAATAAAAATAAAATATTAAGCGATGAAAACAACAATTTATGTGATTCAAGAGATATGATTTACGTTGAAAGAGTCGGTAAGAAAAACAAAACCAAGTGTTTATGATAAAACAACACTTGTCTCTTATATATCCACAACCGTACCGCTCAATTTTTCTAACATGTTTATCTTTTCTTTACATATATCCCTTATGTATTCTGCACCATGGACATTCTCACACTTAGAAAGAAGCCCTAAACAAATATATATTGAGATCCAAGATAAGTTAAACTCCTCGAATTGAAGGAACAAATCAATCAGGTAAATAATAATTATCAAATCAATTTTAATATATTAAACATTAATTTCTATTTTACATGAGAGTATTTTTAAAATTTTTCTTCAATAAAAATGTCTGTAATTTTTTTTAATTCTTTTTATCTAATTTAATTTTTATTTATCATAATTATTTATAAATTAAATATTAATATTTTAAAATAAATTGTCAATAAATTAAAATATTTTTTCACGATACAAATTATTTATCGTAAATCTAAAATATAATTTATATGCTTAAAAATATTCATGTATACCGATTTTAAATAATTTATATATTCAAATATAGTATTTATTTGTTAATATAATTATTATAAATTTTAATTAAATATAATAAATATACTTGTATATCACACAAATTAAAATACTAATATATTAATATCTTTTACTCAACTTAGGTAATTATCAAGCATATTCTATATTTTAGAGTATAGTATTATCAAAAATAAATATTAAAAATTAGTTTTACTTATTTAATAGAATTATTAGAGTTTTAAGTATTTTTTATAATTTTATTAGTGTATTAGACATATAAAAAACAAGGAGTAGGAGAGGAGACTAGTTAAAGATTATAGTAAGGAAATTGAACTTGTTAACCCTCACTTAAATGAGTTATTTTAGTCACTTGAGCGAGATAAGGTTGAGAATAGTTGAGAAGTATCGAGACCTTTCACTTGAAGCACTACTTAGAACTATTATTTACTTGCTCAAGTAAATCACTTTGCTTGTTTAAGCGAGTCAATATTTTATATCTCTAATTTTATTGTGGGTTGTTTGATTAACTTAACTATTAATCTAAAAATTTTATTTAGAAACCTAAAATTTCTCACCTAAAAAATTATTATTAAAATATTTTTGTTGGTTGTCAAATTAATTTAATAATTATGAAATTAAATAATAATTAAAAAGTATATATGTAAAAATTTATTAGTAAAATCAATCTCTAATATCTCATATTATGAATTTTTAATCATCTTTCTAACTAAATATTTTCTAAATTTTATTAATTAATGTTAAATTAAATTAATCAATCATATTATAATATATGTGAACATTTACATTCATTTTATTACTTGTTTTTATTACTTGTGATAATTAATACTTTTACCTATACCAAGTATTTGATAAGTTAATGGATTGAACTATCAAATTATTAGTTACGGCAAGTTTACTATATTTTATCAAATATCCATAGGATTATACCAGAACATAGGATGAGTTGGTTAAGATAATAATAATAATAATAATAATAATAATAATAATAATAATAATAATAATTATTATTATTATTATTATTATTATTATTATTATTATTATTATTATTATTATTATTATTATAATAAATCGAAGCAAAAGGAATTGAAGCAAATCGAGTAATTGATAATTCACACCAATTCTATTTGTTTGTACCATTGGATAAATCGACAGGTTAATTGTACTTATTGTTCAAATCAAGTCTCAATGAAAAAATTAAATTAATATGATATTTATATAATTCACTACCAAAAAATAAAGAGTATAGATTAAGTTCTAAATATATTTTTTTTCTTTATAAAAATTAGTGAATTTTGGTTTAATATTTTTAAGAAGAATATTTTTTAAAAAAAATTAAAATTTAAAATTATTACTTTTAGTTACTATAAAATTAATAAATTTTAATTTTAATCTTTAAAATATTTATGCATATATATATATATATATATAT